GCACAATTGTGTCGTTAAATTGTCACATTTTCATTATAAACTGTTGCATAGAGAAGGATACCAAACATCTCGGTTTTGGCAGACAGAAAGGCTGTCCATGTGTCCCGAAGTTCAGGCGAATATCAGGATTTTTGTCCCGGTTTAAAATGTTCTTAATTACTCAACGATGTGAACAGAGAGTTTTTGGGGCTAGCCTGCCCACTAAACATGCAACGTCGGACCAATGTTGGCCCAACGTTGGTCCACGTTTGCTAGATGTGCAGTGGGGTGGGGGTTGCCAGAGGAGAGGACAGGGCCTGTGGGCAGTAGGCCGAGTCAGCGCCACTCACCACTAAGGTGTTAGTCGCGGCCAATAATCAAAACTCAGGTAACCGTGTTTCGTAGCACGATTCACAAACCACCGCACCACCATTCTATTTCCAAAGGGTGCATGTAGGTAGTCCTCAAATATAAGAGGTTTTTTTTGGGGGGGGGGGTTAGATCACGTAAATGTATAAATGTGTCGTTAAAACCCGCCACCACCCGACACAGCCAACTAGTAAGGGTTGTCACGTAAACAGAACGTGGCCAATTCGTCACTAGTACAGCACTAACGGGTGTGTTGGAGAGCCAAGCCACAACATTTACAATCTGAGCACGACGTTTCGCCAGTAATTACAACCAGCTTCATCAGGCGACAGCCAGATTTGTGGAGAAGTCCTCCACCTGTCTCGTTCCCTATATCGAGGCGTAGATGTGGTGACCACGCTTCTGTGCTCTTGCGCCACTTTGGGGGGGGGGGGGGGGAGGGGATAACTGAGTCAACGTACATTATGCGAGCCCTTTGAACTTGTCCTTGCTGTCTATTGTGTCCTCAAATAGCCTGTCCACACCTGACACAAATGTAGTTCTTGTGTGCATTGTTTTGCAGTGAAGAATATAAGATATCATAGGAAGGAGGTCACTAGTGCTGTGAGCTGGGGTCCTAGGTGAATTTTGCATTACAGCAATGTGGGGTAGTTAAATTCCTTTTATTGGAATGGTTATTGGTGCCCAGGTCTGCATTTTTCATATTCTTTGGGTCTTTCGGTAAAGTCACGTAGATAGTTTCAAATAAAATAACAAAAAAAACTACGACGTTTCGATCGCAACACAAGCGGTCGTCATTAGGAAAAGGGGGTTAGCCTCTCAAGGCAAGCTGTTTATAAAGGTTCAAAATTGGCGTAGCCTAAGTGTCAGCAGCATGGGCGGGGTATGTTGATGTAAGGGATTAAAAACTGTGTCTCCCAGCATCATGTAGGGCGGTGCTGCCAGGTAATTACACACTCACACTGGTGGCGGTAGAGGTTGTTAATAGAGGTGATGGTAGTAGTGGGCAGTGGTGGTCCTGGTGGTGGTGGGCTTCCACCAATTAATTAGGTCTGCATTGCTAAGTGGATTGATCCTTATCCTCCAAGAACAAATCGACAAATCGTATCCACTCAATCTCTCTGGCCTATTTATTTAGCGAATGGTTTAACCCGCGACTGTCACACAGTTAGAGAATCAGATACATATAAATACATATGATTGTCAATGTTATATTGTGAGTGGACGTCAGCTCCACATAGCCACAGAGCCACGTGACAGCCTCCTCCAGCACGTGCAGGGCGACCAGTCTGACCCGGAACGCCCTGAAGAAGGGCAATTATCTGAAACATCTCCCATTATTAATACTTCTAAAGGCAGTGTTATTAAGGATGTGTGGGGGTGGGATTTTGCTTTGTAGATGTGGGTTGGGCGGAGAGTGGGAGAAGCAGCCATCTCTCAATATGTCCAGGTTGAGTCTCAAAGAAGATGTGCTACTGTAGCCTTTACTATGGAATACACAGTCTAAATACACCAAGGTTAACTAAAGAATAACAATGCATTCTGTACACAACAGTTGTATTATATATAAATATTTATTAAGAGGACATCTTTTTTTATTAAGGGTATTACATGAATTCCAGACATGGTACAATACAAATACATTGCAAAACCTATTTACAAAATTAAATAATTATAGTGTTGGTACAAAAGAAAAATAATACTGATTAAGTTCATCGAAATGGCTGAAGTGTTTATTTTGTTATTGTTTTTTCCTAAATGTAATATTTTCTTCTCAATTTTATTAAACTGTGCGGGCAATAATCTTGCCATGGTTTTTCTTCTTCTCCATATTCCTGCTAAAATTATCATAAACATCATCATCACAAACAACCGAGGCACTCCACAGCCTTTTCCCAGTGAGCATCCAAAAAGCAGCCGGCTCTCTCGGCGGGAATGAAATCATCGAAAGTACCAAACTGACTCCTGGGAAAAAATACCACATTTTCAAGAAGCTTTGTAAAAAAAAATCCAAACAAACAATTTAGCAGGCTGTTAAAACGCACTATCATACCTGTCAACCCATACTACGGGTAACCCCGTATTCTTGTACAGGGAAATTTCGTTTGCAGGTTCATACGGCGTACAGCCGTTTCAATACGGGCAAAAAATTCAATTTTGTCTACTTGTTTGTGTTTCTTCCTTGTGATGGGACTTTGTAAGGATGAACGTTGAGATTTATAAGGGGCACGGGGTGACCAATAAGGTCTGACTTGGTCTGTAATAAGGTAGGGCACTGATAAGGGTTTGACAGGTATGCACTATATTAGTCTCCTCATGCCATCATTTAAAAATATAAATTGTGTATGTTTTCAAATCTTGCAAGTGATATGTTGCTGTATAGGAACAGGTGGGCAGTTTGAAGGACAACAGAGGGCAGTTGCGGTAACACCCCGTGCAGTACGGGGTGTCACTGCACTGCGTTCCCCAAACCGCGCTGACGAGCGTGGTGCAGTTCACACGCCTCCTCATGAACCCGCAGGGCATCTAGCAGTTGATTGACAAATGGGCCCTGCACTAGGGCTGAACGATTAATCGATTTTAAATCGAAATCGCAATTTGAAACAATGCGATCGGCTAATCGCAAAGGCTGCGATTTTTTTGCGATTTTAAAAGTCCTATTAGTTTCTTATTGGAATTGTTTTATTCTTTTAATATTATAACTTTATTTATTTAACTTAACAATTGTTCCATGTTTGATTGTTCTATTTCAATAAAAAAAAACATTTTTAATAAATACATGTTGGAAGCAATTCATATCTTTTAAGTTTTAATCCTTGCATTAGAATATATAGAGCAGTTCATATCATCACATGTTTTAAATCTATTACACAGTGAATATTGAACTTGACTTAAATTTTTTAATCGCAAATCGCAATATCTGTCAGAAAAATCGCAATTTGATATTTTCCCCAAATCGTTCAGCCCTACTCTGCACGCACATTTATTATGGAAGTTAAAGAAGGGATACTTAAGGTCCCCGGCTCTGCCTACATACGCTTAGGCAGTGAGAAATAACTGCCACATTGCCACACGTCACCAAAATGCCGTCTCCAAGGCAGTTACGGGAAGTAGAATAAAACATACCATTATATAAATATAGCACAGAACAGCTACTTTAGAAACTAACAGCCATCTTTGATACCTAGGGGACGATACTAATTCTGAATGAACATACAAAATACCAATTGCATCATATGCTACAGATTGTTCCTCTGACTTGTGCTTGTAAATTACCTCGTTCGCTGTTGCGTGAAAGCGACGGCATTTATGTGAACGGAATGTGTCATGAACGCACTATATGAAAATGTCCAATGCCGTGCCCTTCATTTGTTTACAGGTAAATAGCATACGGTGCCCTCGGTTGGATATTAAAATCGAGCCCAGTTGTTGTTTGCTACGTTGCCTGCATGCTAACATGTCAGAATGCTGTCATTACGATCCTCCGGTAATGTCAGGCTAATGTGGGCGATGTTCCCTGCCACCGGTGTTCACAGCTTCACATATTTAGTTTTTGAGCACCGACACACCAACCCTATCTCTAGAGCAAGATAGCGTTGGAATCCTCTACCTCTTCCACCCCTGTCACGAACCTAACCTGGATCCTCAACAAATAATGCATCGTGAAATTGTAAAACATGAGGTTCTGGGGGAGTGCACGGCAGAGCACACAGGTTGGCCAGGCTGTCCAGTTGGATAGGCGCAAGCAATTTACAAGCCTTCAAAATGTGTAAAGTGAAAAGAAAACCCCATCACAACAGAATAAGTAATGCAGGCTGGAAGGAAATAGGTTTAACAACACACAAATGTGTGCATTGCACGTACACAATCTCCCAGCCTTATTCAAAGAGTTGTGAAATTGTGGCTATCCCATCATTGATGATTGTACCAAACCAACGAGTCCCTAATGAGAATGAAAGCGGTCAATAGTTGTGCTTTTGTTTCACAGCTGCCTGTTGGGATGGCCGCATTTCCTCAACGCTTTGAGTTGGTGATCTAAATGATAAAATGGCTGAATATTCAGTTCCATTGGGCTGGTGGTTTGGATAAAGCAGAGAGCTGTTTTTTTCCATGCAATGCACATCTATCCGCATTGTTAACCCTTTCCAAGCCTGCAGCACGCTTTGCACAGCAAGGCAAAGCGTAGCCGCCACTCAACAATGTACCTCGGGTCCAAACGACAGCCTGCGATTCAGTAAACACTGTACACACCGTGGTGGTAGAGTTCACAACAAACAACCAACAACCAAGCACAGCACAACTTCTACAAAGTTTCTATTTTATGCGCCTGTCGTAAACAGCAAACGGAACAACTTCAGGGTATAAAGCAGTAAGGATATAACTTCTGGGTTTCATGCTATCCAGGCATCTCGAAGGACAACTGGCGTTGTATGAGCACATTTCCAGTCAATGGACAATGGGGTCAGGGCCTGGGCAGAAGTTGGGGAACGTAAAAATGTTCCATCACCCCTGCGCCGTCTCCCGACAGACATTTCGCATGGCTTGGAGCACCCTGCCAGACTGCAAAGCGCCATGTTCATCTTTTGTTTATTAGTTTGGTCCTCCCATTGCGTTAAATGGATATGATGTCCCATTACAAATGCTCTTGAGTATTTTTTTTTGTAAGTCCCTGCCAAGTGGTAATTAGTTTCGTTTAATGGGCACACTTACAGCTTAATGAACGACGGCTGGATTCAACCCCCAAGACAATGATCTCACGTACCAACGTATATCAAGCAGATTATTTGCGCAAAAATGTAGTGCTTTTTTTCGTGTTACTTTCAATTCGACATAGCGCATTTGGTGGTGTGTATTGCGATGGAGGAGTTGTAACCGTTAATCGGCCATTGCATTTATCTCGTCAAGAGCGGACACGTTGAATGTTGCCGGTCGAACAACGCGACGGGAAGGGGCAATGTTTCACGTGCGACGTGTCCCATGAAGTCTGCACTCAGGAACGAGCACCGTCCTCTCTGTGATGTCGCCAACACGATAGCGGGTTGCTTGTCAAATTTGCAAGTTCTCCCTTTATTGAAAAAATAAATAAGAATTCTGACCTTAGACGTCCTGGGATTTAGCACAAACATGATAAAAGTCTTCCACATACAAGAGGCTGCTTAGTTCAGAGACTGGTCCCTAGGTCGTACTTTGATGGCCGCTTTACTACAGCTGTTGGGTCACCAATGCAGAACAATAAATTACAATATGAAAACTTGAAAATATGCTTATTGCTTTATTGTTTAACACTGTAAGTGGTATTTGTTAAATACGTGCAATCGTTATTGCTTTTGAATTGTGAACCCTTCAAGCTTTGGAATTTGTTTGAATATGCCTTAAACACTTCTCTTGATCCATTTACACAGCTATCTAGATACACCTGATGCACACCAATTCGTATACACATATGCAAATAACTTCCCAACGCTTAAAAATTTCCGTTGTCATTGTTTAAAAAAGAAAAAGGAACGCTCTACACACCTGCATAGAAACACCATTAAAAACCGCTTTTTATACCAGAAATTCACGGACATGTCGTGCTTGCCAGGCAGCTGATGGTCTTTCTTGAAAAGCAGAAAACCGTCAGCAGCAGCAGCAGCTTTCAGTTTGGCACAAACTTCATACGAAAACAAAACATTTTTAACGCGAGTGAAAAACGTTAAAACGTCAAATATACTCCTCTTGGTCAACATTTTTATTTTGCGTATCTTCATTCGACGCATCATTGACAGCGTCTCCATTTCCCTGGTTCTCTACGGCCGAGAGGCTTGCCAGGTCCACAAACACCTCCATGTAGTGGTCAAGATTAGGGCCGAGGTTAAGCACGGCCTCCCAGTTGAAGGCCGGCGGCACGGCCAACGGCTTGGCGCCCTTCCCCTTGCTGGCACCGTCAGACTGGCGCTGCCGGCGGGACCTCAGCAAGGTGGCCGCGTTCTTGTTCTCGTCTTCCTCCTCCTCTCCTTCCGCATCCTCGCCGTCATCCCCTTCGCCGACGTCCCCCCCGAAGTTGTACTCGGAGAGCTGCCCCAGGCGCAGCGGGCGCGGGGCGAACGTCATCGGCTTCTCCCGCTCGCCTTCAAATTCGGAGCACGTGAACGAGTCGTGCGACTCGCTCTCCGATGAGGAGCTGTCCCCCGCTGAGGGCGGCGGGAAGTCGGACGCTCCCTGGTGGTGACCGCGGAGAGTCCGGGACAGCGGGCGCGCCCGGAAGCGACAGCCCCCACCCACGAGGCCTCCCCCGCCGTTGTTGTCGTCGGACGACGAGCAGGCCTCGGCCGTGCTGGCCAGGCTGGCCGTGTTCCGCGGCCTCCGCACTTCCGACACGGACGACGCGTTCAGCCGCTCCACCTCCTCCAATGAGAGCCCGACGGGGGGACCCGCCATCTCGCCCACTCCTGGCGATTCCAGCCGCATGCGGCTGGGTGGACGGCCTGCGCAGGCCGAGAGGGGGCTCTTGCTCCGCCTCCCCGTGTAGCCCACGGGGAAGGCCGCCATCCCGCTCGCGTTGGCGCCGTCCCAGCCTGCGAGGGGATAGTCTCGCGGTGCCGGGCTGCCGCGCAGCGAGCTCCCCGCTTTGAGGAACGAGGGGGCGGATATTGGGCTTTGACGCACCGGCGTTTGCCTGCCACCAACCGTGTTGAGAGGGAGAGGCCGCGACGAGCCGTACAGCCCGGATGAGTGCAGGGGCAAGAGCGGCTGCAGTGGGCAGGTAGCTGTCGGGTGCCGGGAGGACAGGGAGAAGCGGGAGGGTGCGGCGGGTGCAGGATTGTTACCGTAGCTGTGAGGCCGGAACTGGCGGTAATGCTGCACCACGTCGGCGTCCGACGGCGCGATACTGCTGGCGTTTTCGATGTCGTAATGCTCCAGCTCATTGTCGGGTGTGGTGCTGATGGATCGGAGGCGCATCCCCCTCTCCTCATCCTCGCCCTCGCCAATATCCGTCTCGTCAGCCATCAGGTACGGAGTTTCCCCTTCGATTATGTCCGGCTTCGCCACGTGAGTCTCATGGCCAAGCTTGCGCTCGGGGCTGTCGGCGCCATACGGTGGCAGATTGTCTCCCGAGTTGAAAGCCTCATTCTCGCTGCCTTTGTTTTTCTTTTTCTTCTGCTGGTGCTGCTGTTGCTGCTGCTGTTGCTTCGCCTGGCCACCGTCCTCCTTCTCCTTCATCCTCCCGGCCTTGCGACGGCGGCACGCGAGCAGCACGACGAGGAGGATCGTCAGCAGCAGGAAGAGCGCGCCGACGGCGGCGATCACCATCGCCGCCCAGAACGGGAAGGCGGCCCTCTCGACGAGCTCGCAGCGGCGGCCGGCGCCGTCGGCGCGGCACACGTGCTCCGCGGGGCATTTGGCCGCGACGCAAACGGCGGGCACCTCGCAGTCCCTCCCGGCGTACTCCGCCGGGCAGTGGCAACCGTAGCCACGCGCACCGCCCGTGGCGGGAAGCGGCGAGCAGCGCCCGCCGTTTTGGCAGGGCTCCCTGGAGCACTCGCCCGGCGGGACGCAGGCGTGGGCGTGCCAGCGGTCGACGCACAGCAGGCCGGGCGGACACCGCGCCTCTGCGCACACGTCCGGGCCCCGGCAGCCGATGCGCAGGGCGCCTCCGCTGTCGCTGGGAACCGCGTCCGCCACGGGGCTGCCGCCCGAGAACGGCATACTCATCCCGTTGTACTTGAATTCCAGCACGCAGCCGCTGAAACCTACGCGTATTAAAAATACAAAAAGGTACAAGGTTAAGATGCAATCCTGAAGTTGAAACTAAAAACCTAAACTACTTTTTATTTGATGAAATAAATGCCCACTGAGCTATGTAGCTCTTTTCCAGAAGTGATCTGGCTATCACAAATGATAGCTCAATGAAGTGGCTTATCACGTGGGAACCTAGAGCAGCCAAGTACTCTAAACGCACTCAGCTTCTAAATATTGGCACCCCGGGGACAGCATGCAAACTCCAAATATACAGCAGGCGTCAGGGTCGGGTCCAAACCCACGACCTCCTGTACACCGGGTGAGGTAGTTAATGTCTTGCCACCGTTACTTGCCATGCCACAAGAGGGAGCTCTATAAAGCCATCTCTACAGAGGGTATTGTCGCCTACTCTACGACAATGGCTAGATGTCGTGGAAGAGGTGGGGAGCATAAATACTTTACTTCATCACACACTATCTGCGCTCATTTAACTCCGATCACCATGATTGGCTACACACTGTGCGAAAATAATTAAACAAACATAGACAGATATTGTAGCGTGCCCATTTAGACTGCTGGATGGGCAGAGGCTCGAGCCAGGAGATCGAATCGGTGACCATTATACTGTGGGGGCATGCCCAGTATACTCTTTTTGAACAGAATGTGCTTTAAATATTATCATAATAAACATGTAAGAACTCAAAAAGTGTCCCAATGTTCAAATGACCCTTTGGCAGTGGCAACTTTGCTGCCAGTTCTTTTTCGCGTGGATACATTTTGAGCCAGTCTCTCCAGAGGACGAACACCATTTGACTTTTCCATTGCACCCCATCAGGACCCCTAAATTTAAACGTCGACCGCTACTTCGGTTGCAACAAACAATTTCCATCTTCTTGCAAGAAACCTTCACTGACCTGGCTCTTTCCCGCGCGCTAACGGTGAAGACGAGGGCTGGTACGGCAGGCCCCCGAGCGAGAAGGAAGCCACGGCTGGGCCACTGAAGTCGTGCGTGGGCTGGGTGACGTCCCTGGGTGCCTGGCTGTCGAGCGCGAGCTGAACGAGCGACGGCCCACGCCTCATCGCCCGAACCACGTGCCACTCGCCGTCGTCCACCGTCTCCTCCGAGAAGCGTCGCTCCACGCGGCCCGTGGCCCCCGCGTCCGACACGTACACCAGCCGCCCCTCCACGAGCTGCAATCGGGGGGCGGGAGGGGGGGTCACAGAGCGTAGTGCCTGCCGTCAAAACTTTCAACATCCTCTCGCTCGCCAGCCGAACGCTGAACATGTTAATTAAGGCAGCCAAATCGCTTGCAATGAACGTTAAAGAGCGCCCAATTAGAACAATTACATAACGCAGTTATTCCTTATCCTAAGTCTCATGTATACTGAAGAAAACTTTTTCCCCCCACAATTAAGAGTGTAGGAGGGTGAGACTTTCTCACCTTGATCGTGGTGTGATTTCCAGTCTCGCGAACTTGCAGCAGCACGCCCTCGGGTCGCCGCGTACGGAACGTGACCTCCAAGCTGGACTCCGCCTCACCGCCCGCCGTCTCCGCCGCCGCCTTGCCGGGACGCCCGCCCCTTTTGGCGGCCGCGCCACGCTCGTCGCCGCCGCCGCCGCCGCCGCCGCCGCCGTCGCCCGAAGCGCGCCTGGCCCGCCCGCCATTCGAGGAAGGGGCGAGCAGGCGATCGCGACGGTAGCTCTCGCGAACCACGTAGTCCAGACGGCCGGAGCCATCCAACCCCAGCGCCGTGTCCTCCGAAATGCCTGCATCAAGCCGATTCACGGAGAGGCGCGATGTCACCAGTGAGGTTTGAGGATTGTTGTCGCCGTCGTCGTTGTTGTTTCTCGTTGCTTTGCTTTGCTTTGATATAGTGTGTGCACCGTTGGTATTGATTGGGCATGAGGCGTTGCAGTGAATTTCGTGCTCACAAGGACGAATTGCTCATGTGTGGTTTGTGCAAATGATATGCTCATCTTGCGTTTAGGATAATGGTGCATAACCCACTATCTAAATAAAAACATATAGAGACAATTAAAAACAAGGACAAAATTTATTATAAATTGACACATGCGCCTTAATGCGGACAATAATCAAATAACTGGGGTGTGTGTATTTGGTCCTGATTTGATTGATTGAAATAAAATGTTGATGTTTCACTGCTAATCCACGTTTGAAACTTTCCCACTTATCCAAGAACAAAACAAATGTTATAAATCTCCCCAGAGCAATAGACGGAGGCTGTTTTCTTCGTCTATTTTAGGGGAAACTCCTGTTGATTCACTTTCACAGCAACACGTGCCATGACACGCTGAAAATACGGGTAGAGTCGGTCACGGTTTCCGAGCCGCACCATTTCTGCAAGACACTGCGAGGCGGCAGCTCCAATGGCTTCTCAAGTTCGCAGGAAATAAGCATGACGGGCCAACGTTTGACTGGATGCCAGCGAAAGCCACACCACTCTACACTGTGGGCTCCAGCTGTGATCTCTTTCACTGGTTGATTACGTAACGGCAACCATTGCAGAGCTGACTAAATGTTTGTGACATTCCCATTTTGTTTTATTCCTCCTCCCTTGGAAATGGACGCAAAGCCTCGCTTCAGAAACGAACAAAATGTTTGGACAGCCAGCATTAATTTTCTCATTACTTGGTACGGTAGCGACTACAACGTCTGCTCAGCTTGGCTTTAACGCACGTGAAGTTAAGGGCCCGCTGCATCTCCAGGCACCTGCTTGAAAGGCGGCAAAGCAATTAAGCTGCTAAAATGGTTTTCCGTTTGGAGGGCATATGAGACACCTGTGACAAGTTCAGGACTCCGTGCTCCCCGTGCCAAGCACAAATGAATTGGCTCCTTGTGTAGCTGCGAATGTGCTAGCACACACAGATGGCAAGTGTGGGCGGTAGTCTGCAAGACCTCTAAAATAAACTATTTGTCGCCCTGTGGCTCAAAAGTGTATTGGATACAGCCTTCAAATGTGACTGAAATACAGGTAGTCCCCGACTTACGATGGTCCGACTTACAATATTTCGATCTTATGATGGCGATAGCGATATGACAAAATTGTACAATATTTTTAATTTCGCGCGGCAGGCAAACACAGCAGCGTACGAGGTACGATACTGTAACTTTATCATCGCCATCCTCCTCTTCCGACAACTAAGTTAATGTAGCCATCAACAATCTAACATCGTTCAAGTGTGCAGATGACGGACAGAATCTTGGTGAGTGCAGTAGAATATGATACGTTACGATACGTTCAATGCGTGTATGATACATAGCTTTAGCGATTTCATTTTAGGGTTACCACGATACATACGTTCAATGCATGTTAAAAGTTTTTTTTTATAGCAGATAGGATTGTTTCCTGAAAAAACTTTATATGAAATTGCAGTTCATATAGGTAGGCTAAGAATTTACCTTGTTTTTTACTTTAAATTTTACTGTGCAATACAGTAAATAAGTGGTAATTACTGGCGAAACGTCGTACTCAGATTGTAAATGTTGTGGCCTGGCTCTCCAACACACCGGTTAGTGCTGTACTAGTGACGAATTGGCCACGTTCTGTTTACGTGACAACCCTTACTAGTTGGCTGTGTCGGGTGGTGGCGGGTTTTAACGACACATTTAAATATTTACGTGATCTAACCCAAAAAAAAACTCCATTATGGATATAATTAGCCGTGTTAACACTTAAATATAGAATATAATGAGCGATGATGGTTTCATCTGGATACAGTTTTAATGTTGTTTTAACCCTTTCCCATCCCAAGATGTCTGCAAGTTGTAGGTTGGGTCTCGTTCACTGCTGAATCTCGGAACTCGCAAGTGGTTAGCATTAATTTTATTTAGAGAGGCATAGCGCTGCTGTTTTATAAAGACACTGTACTCATCGCAGAGAACTGTAGTGACACGACCGCCCTCTACGATAGCTGGCGCCAAACTGTGCCACACGCCCTCCCGCATGGCCTTGTGGGAGCCTCGGTATCGAAAAAGTGACTTTATTTGAGTTTTTCTTTCAATTCCGTGTACATCATCGGAATGGGGAAGGGTTAATTTACTCGTCTTTACCCAAAGGCATGCTCAGATTGTTATGCCTCGTGAATTTTACGCATTGTAACGTAACATATGGTTTAAAAAGCAGAATTTAGCAGAATTTGAACCTCTGATGCAGCATGACCGCAAAAAGGAGAAATATGGAAGGAATTTTGTTCGGTCCCATTGTCGCTAATGACATTGCGGAAGCGGCCAGGGGATGATGATGGTGGTGAGGTTTTGGCATTTAAATTTAACTCACGTTTCTCGCAGAGGTCTCCCGTGAAGCCATCGGGGCAGACGCACAACTGGGAGGACCACATGTCAAGGCAGGTGGCCCCACTGAGGCAAGGCCGCGCTCGGCAGGCCCCCTCCAGCCGTGGGCACCTGGAGGGAGGCATTCGCACAGGATTCGTAACGGGCAAATATCGCGCGTTAAAATAAATAAAAAAGCAAATGCTTTCTCTCACGTGTAACCGAGTTGTACCGCTTGTGGTTCAGTACATTTGGGGCGGGAAATGTCGGACAATACGCGGCAGGAACACAAAAAACACATCGCTGAGCTAGACAGCACAACCAAGGAAGGCTACGCAATAACTTGTCAATCCACTTCTGGATGAAGGCCTCCCAACACTGTGTCTGTCGTGTGGGCGTTGTCTGACCATCACTTCAGCGTGGCTTGGTGGAGGTTCAGATAGCATTCGCCAATGGCAGAAGCCATGGCTGGGAATCTAAATTTAGGTCGCTGGGTTCATAGCGTAGTGCGCTAACCACTTCGCCCACCCATAAATGACCGGGTTGTTGACGTTAATGGTGAAACGGCATCCCTGACCGGCGCAGCATAGGGTGGTCTTCAGCCAGCAGTGGATTGAAAAAGGGCTGAAAATCGTTTTTTGTGAACGTGACCGAATGTGGCACTTAACCAAATAAATAAATTACCAGCGGTAAAGTGACACTGAGAACACATTAGAAAATTAATACCAAGAAACAGCCTCTTGTTTTCAGAATGGATTATTCATCTCGTAACAAAACGCCAATAGCACGATTGGCATTATATGGGGGGGAAAGAGGGAAACAAATTGGGCTTGCTTCCTTTACATTACACGGCAGATATTGCATTTGTAAAGACAGTTGGTGGAGGCTCATTTATTGTTTTTCTCTTAATCTCCATCCAATTCAGACCGAACTTTCCTAGTCCTGTGCTGTTGTTTGTGTAATGGATCTATCAATTTGGCTTTCTGGGTGTTTGAAGTAAGTAATGGATATATACACAACTACTACATTTAACTCTTTTTTTCCACTGCAAGTTTAGGATAATTTATAGCAGCTGCTTGGGATTAAAGTATCATGTATTGTTGGATTTGCTATGTCTCAAATGCTCTTAAAACATCTCTGTTGTACACAGTGTGCATTATAGTATTCGTTCATTTGGCCAACACCCAGGGCAAGTATTATTGGGCACCAAAGCTCTGGAAAGCCACAAAGAGCTAATTTACCACAAACGTGATATTCTGTGTTGATTTTCAACATGTGTTCTTTTTACACTGTTCCAGAAAAGCTATGTTATTTTAGAAATAGATTCGGTTTTTTTTCACTTGTAAAAGGATTTTGCTGTTTTTATAATGAAGACACACCAATTTTTCCATGAAGACTTTGCCAGTGCGTTTTAGAGTATATTGACTTTACGAAAATTTACTGTTGCTCATCCACCAAAGTAAATTCAGGGGGTATTAGCTTATAGCCAAGCTTTGGGTGAGAGTGCTTTAGAATAGCAATGAATGCATGAATACATTTTACCAAATACAGAAAAAAGAAATATGTAATTAAATTACTGAAATATTAATGGCAGCCTTTCATTTTTCATCAACGGTACAATTCTTTAATGTCATGTAATGCAGCATGTCTGGTTTCTGTTCTTAATATGAATCACATCCATTAAATATGTTTCATTGTAAAGCCATGCAAAATGATCTCATATGGGCAAGTACAAATCTTGTATGACATCAATCGTCTGGCCCAAAAAATACCCCAAATTCACAGCGTGTGGCTTGTACCACACGGTGTTAAGTTGGCGGTGTGTGTTCCGTGATCCCACAGGCCGAAGGACCTTTTTGTATATTTTTGCAGCTCGTGCCACGTTGTGCTACTCGGCACGTGACGTGGAAGCGGTTTGCCCCTGGAAGATGAACGTGGCATCAGTGGTCCACTCTTCCCGCAGGGACGGCAGAGAAAATGTAAGCTCATTGAACAAGAAAAGGTGTGCTCAAGTAGTTTACAAACTTGGCAATATTGCCCCCTTCAATCTTGTTACAATGTGCACTGAACTTGAGCATTAACGAGGATATACCATCTCATAGCAAAACTCTCCATTATTGCAATGTTTTCCTTGATGCCTTTTCCAAAATCACACATCTCCAAACTCCAAATGCTGCTGCCAGACAACTCGTAAATTAGACCACATCACCCCAATGCTCTGATGGCTCCACTGGTTCCCAAATCAATGCCGGATCAGTTTCAAGATCCCACTCATTGTCTTCAATATCCTCCTCCATGGACTTGCTCCTGCCCACCTCTTCCCATCTTCTTCTACTTCTTCATATGCCTGATATAGATGTAATGCAAAAATTATCACCAGAGCAACACAATTTCAAATTTTCTTGCTGTGGTTTTCACACCTGATGATGATTGCTTGTGTTGCAGTCGAAACGTCGTGTGTTGCAGTCGAAACGTCGCGAGAATTTAATTATTTTATATATATTTTTATTTATTTTATTTTATTGTTTCCCTTCTACGAGACTTTACCGAAAGAAACAATAATATGAATCCCTGCAGTCATGAAAGCTTTAAATCAAAACTATAATTTTACATTGAGGTGCTTGAGCCAGATTATTGCATGAGGAGTGTACCGCTGTGAACTTCTCCCCTGTCATCTCATCAAACCGTACCACCCTCCAAGCACTCTCTACCCCAGAAACCAAGGACTTCTGTTGGAAGCCTCTAATCAACCCTCAGTCGGTGGGAGGTCACTCTTCCTCCTCTGCTGAGCGCATGGGCTGGCACTCCCTTCCCCCCTGCCACCTAAGCTGCCGACTCATTACCACTGTTTCTGGTCGAGTCTCAAGACCGCCCTCTACTCTCCTCCACGCTGCACTCTCCTACGACTGCTTCGAACATGACCCCTGGCGAGCGCACGTACGTGTCCAGGACGCCGCTGGCGGTGAGCGCCTGGCTGGGCTGCAGCGGGGCGCCGTTGATGCTGAACTCGCGCACGCAGCCGACAAAGTCGTGCGATATTCCGCTGCGCCGGATCAGCGGCAGCAGGGGCAGGAGCGAGGCCACCCCACCAGCCCACGCGCGGCCACCGTGCACGTCCAGCGTCCTTGGGGGAAGGGCGTCGGGATGTCAAAGTGGCAGCCTTTCAGGGCACATCACGAATGATACATTGCACTCACCTTTCGAAGACACCTTTTAAGTGCTGCTATTGTATCATCCGGTTTAACAACATGTCACATTTCAGGGCTTCCGATAAGCGCAGTCTACTCACATGCCATGGTTAGGGTCAGTGAGTGGATGGCTTTCGGTGTGTAACCGTCCTCTCAGCGGTGTGCTAGGTGACACGTGCCAATGTTATCATGCTTATACGACGAAGATGTTGGAAACCTGCTGGGATTCGACGGATTGTCATGTTTTGGAGCAATTATTTAATTCAAGAATGCATTATTTTTCTGCCTAGAAGTTATTGTACGTGATTTTTGTTTTGCTCACATTCATCCTGAACCCAACTTTGCGACCTTTGTTATTTGGTCTTTCTAAGATTTCCTGCAGTGCATTCCCATTGCGCACGAGGAGGACTCAATCGTCTGCAAATCTGAGATGAATTAGTTTCACCATTGATATGTATGCATTTATTTCGATTATAATATACTATTTTAAAAAACGCATGGTTTTAACAACTAAATGAATGGCCATTGTCCAATCTCTGTACACTTATTGAACATTTACCTGGTCGGCAATCGGTGCACCGAGTATACAATAAAACCCTTGAAACGCGGGGGGGGGGGGGTGGGGGGGGGTCAAACAGACGACCTTGACTTCACGGCAGACATTCATCATGCCTGGCAGCGCGCAGACTAAAAAGTTGCTCGGGCGACGCGTAAAGGGACGTCACTCACTGCGCTGACCCAGTGCCAGGGCTGCTGGTCGAGCAGTAACCGGCCACCGAATTCTCCGGGCAGTCGTCCACAGCGAGCGACCCGGCCTGCAAAGTGACGACAACGCAGCCACAACAACAAACAAACAAGCAAGCAAACGGGTCAAGACGCCGGCACGCGTCGCGGCTCGCAACGCGTTGCTTCTCGTGCCGCATTTCCCAGTTTGCCGCAATTGATTGCGCTCTCGTGAGTGGCAATTATAGAATTACGGGGGGGGGGGGGGTTGAGCCCACTCTAAGCAGAGGCCCTGCACTGCGTGGCGAGACCCTCATCCAGCAGTGGATTGACAAAAGGACTGTACATGTATACTGTTAAGGAGCAATGTCAACCATTTGAGTAAATCAGTGAAGTTATCTGACAGAGTCCTGATCAATGTGTGAACTCATAAATAATACCATGTTTATCAGCAGTGATTATTACATTTGCTCATTGTCACCAGCCAGGCTGGGCCTTCAGTAACAGACAAAAGGCTACACAATATTATTGCATTCTCGTGTCTACACAGCCATTGTAGCCTATTCACGGAGATGTCCGGCAAACACGACGGAAGTGTTTTAAATATAAATTTACGGTAGTTCCCGGTCGGTAATTTACAAGCGCAATAAATTTGGACTGCAACATTGGTGCATGTGTGCATGCCAGTTACAACAACTACGTGACAAGACCTTCATGGTCCACTTTAGTGCAGGATGGTGAGGCTTTTGGTGATAACTCCGCTACTTTAAAGGGTAGGTGAATTACTCGTATCGTCGCCCACTTTACGGACGCGGTGAGCGTGCTCTGGGCAATTTTCCGCTATTTACGTGAATCTTAAAAAAAAAATGTTTTGACAACAGAGGTAACGCGTCCAACACAGCAGGCGATTTCGCAGGCTGTATTCGCCAAACGTATCAGCGAGGAAATACGTTTTCCGGATAAAACCACCGACAGAAACAAATTGTTGGTTGTTTGTCAAGATATATGTGTGTGTGTATACTTGCTGAAATAAATGACAAATGTGGGGTGCTTCCCATGAGTTGGAATGGTTGGAACAGTGGAATTACGATCTAAAGAGGCTCAGTTCGATTCCATCTCCCAGCATTGTAGTTGAAAGACTTGTGCAAGTTGCTTTACTAGACCCTCCATCTCCCCCCCCCCCCCCACCACCACCTTCACCTCTTCTTACACAGCGGTACACCATGATCAATCAATCGGCAGTTCGAGCGTGGTGGCGTAAAACGTGGGGACACCCCTCTCTTCCAAGATGTAAGCACGTACGTTGAACTTCGTTCGCACCGTACGTAGCCGACCGTGCTACTCGAAGGCGCGGGGGAAAGGACAAAGATGTCCAGCCGCGTGTGGATGAGTAGGCCAATGTACCCTGTATAGAGGGGATCTCTAGAGCGCCCTCCAGTGGCGGCTCTTCAGCCAGTCAGTGGCGTAAAAAATCGATAGCGGCGATGCAGCCTTTGCCTTAACTTGTTATACGAGAATTAAACATGCGGTGAGAAAAACGGCGCAATGAAAACCGAGGCATGCATGGCACAGCATGTGCTGGGATTGGCCAACGCTGGCAAAAAAAAAAACTGCGGGGGTGGTGGGGGTGGGAAATGTCCTGCGGTCAGGTCGCCTTGATGAATTCAATGCTCGAGTTTCCCCCAGATAACACTCAGAGCGCAGCAGGGCCTCGCCTGAGCCCGCTGTCGCCAACAAATCATTTGACGAGGCACACGCACACGGATCATAAGCAAACACGGCCTCGTAATATGGCAACCCGCACACAGCTGGCGAAGCCACTGGATCGACTCAGGCAACAATCCACCCGGGCAATCCTTGCCCCGGTTCTCTCAGCCAAGGCCTGTTATGAACTAATATGGACTCAAACCTAGTTAGTGTTTTCAGCTTAATGACTCTGAAAACAGCTCGGGGGAATTACCATTTTTTTTTTCAAACGTATTCGACTAAAAGTCGTTTAAATTACCCGGGGATGGATGAGGTGTGCACGTTCTTGGTCGCGAGCCTCATCATGCCCCCGCCATAATTCCACCTCTCTGAGCCAATTTTGACTATTTCCAGTGGTTTTAAGAAAGTGCCTTCCAACATTCCCTGGCTCTTGTACAACGTCTCCCTCGAAAAGCTTCCACACGCATGCCGCTGTGGGAATTTACCAGCCCCCCGGTGAGCATTGCGCGTATTAAACAGGCACGCGGCGGTACGAAATAACCGAGCTATTCGCCTTCTCTTTAACCGTCCCTGCGAACCTGCAACCCGCCAGTATAAACCTTCGCCGTTTTGCGCCGCAACTGTTCTTGTTGTCAGAATTCCTGCATCGATCTGCAGGCAGCCCGAGAAGCTCGCCTCTGTTGGCCACAACTCTGGCTTGGTTAACCGACGGAAAGGTTGGCTTTTTTGTTTTTGCCCGACGGAAGACGCAGGAAAAAGTTGTGGTGCAGAGTCCGGGTAGGACTGCTTCCAATAAAAAAGGTCGCTCACGCTACACGCGTTCGTACGCGTGTTTGTTTACACTACGCACGCGGTGGGAGGGGGGCACTAGAGGCAAGGCCACGTAGTCTCTTTGGAAGCCGCACGCCTGCAATTTAAATGGTCACTAATTGGATAACTGAATGATTTAATAACCTCGGCTAATGAAATAAGCTCATTCTGGTATTGCTGTTTTTATTGGAAGAACTTAAATGCTTAAGTTTCAATTATGAAATACTTTTGCATGCAGTAATGTTATTAAACAGAATGAGTGTGTCATTCTATAAGGGGTATTGTTATTTCAAAGCTAACTCAATTCTACCACCTCAAACATATTTATATTCTATGTCCTGTAGTATTGTTGTATTTAAAAAAAAAACAAGATTTCTCACAAATTATTTGAGATAAATAAATGTTTGGGGTAGAGCAATAGCGCAGTAGTTAGTGAGCAGTGGTTAGTGCACAGCACGAATAATCAATAGGCCTGTGTATTATCCTCAGCCACGGCTAACAGCAGTGGCGAGTGTTATCCGAAATGGTCCTGAGCTCCCTCTCTTTACCGACCCTGCTGCAGTGACCAGCCAAGGAGTATCGCTTTGCTTGCGTTTTACCCAGTAAAATCCTCACCGAGTCTCAACACTTTTTCCTAAGGAGGCGCCTGCCAAATTTCACAGCAGAGTGGGGGGCCGATGTTCACATGCGTAACCCTAATTGAACAATTTGCAGGTAACTTTTTTCAGAATGGAGATGCTTTGGCAATACCAGCTACATTGTATTGGGTGTTTTTTTTACTGATGGAGGAAACCAGAGAAGCTGGAGGAAACCCATGAAGAACGGGGGGGGGGGGGGGGGGGGGGACATTCCGAACGCCATGCAGAGAGGTTCCCGGGTCGAGAATCGAACCCAGGCGTGTTGATGTGAGGCACGAGTGATGCCACTGGGCCACCCTGCCACCCACTAGATAGTAAAACAACCCCAATGACTAGTATAGAGTGGGCAGAACTTCATTCAGTAGAAGATCGACAAGACGGCTTCTTTTTTAAGTCCTCTGCTCAAAGGCAGGTCATTGACAAAGTATAGTAAATCATTATTATTCATTATCATTATTAAAAAAAGTGTTGCAGCACAAGTGATACATTTCAAGCAATTATGTATAGGGTATCTTATTTAAAACACACACACACAGTGGGAACATTTGTTATTTTTCCAATAAATCATTGAGTATATAAATGGTAATATTCAATAAAAAGAAACATATAATTTGAGTCGGTCTAGCGAGGCACAGCGTGGTCTCAAACGGAGTAATATGAACAAGCTTGCTGCTTCTGTAAGGGGTGTTCGGAGGAATGCACAAAGCCAACGTGAGTCAACAAACACCTATTTGAAGGCTGGCCGGAATGCGCACTATTCAATGCTTGGCAAAATGTAATATAACAAAAAAAACACCACAATTTATTTTATTTCACTCGGTCAATCAAAGACCACCACAAACGCGTGACTGTGTGCCATAATCCTCTGATCTAATGTACATGTTTAATGAAGCGAGCCACCTGCTAAAGAAACATTTCATATATATAGTACATATATTGTGTGTATATATGTCATTATGAGTCGTATACGTGGGAGGGGGGGAGGGGGGTAGATTTTACAGCAATGTTGCTTGAGGTCCGTGGGTTCTCATCAATAGAGGCCGCGGGGGATGGCCCCACTATTGAAAAACGAAATCCTAAACAATAATTACCTGCTTATTACGAAGATTACAAACTGTATATACCCCCCTCTCCCTCCTCCCTTGCTCCCCTATTACTATGAGCTCCCATTGCTCACCATCGATATCTCTATATATATACACCCGCAGGCCACCACTGCCCGCGGTGGACTCACCGCTCCAAAGCGCTTGGCTATAACCGTGTGGAAATGTCCATCGGCCACCGGCTGGGCGGTCTCCATGTGCACCGCGCCCTGGCCCAGGTTGTAGGAGAAGCGCACGCGTCCGTCGCGCACCTCCAGAGCCAGGAACTCGGCATCAGGAGCGACGGCCGTGCCCGGCGAGAGCGCGCCGTGAGTGAGGAGCAGCAGGCCGTGGCGCCGCGTCGTGGCAAACTCCACGGCGAGGACGTTGCTGCGGCCGTCGAGCGCCGGGACCTCGAGGAAGGAGAGCTCCGAGAAACCGTAGCTGGTCAGCTCGCAGCGCGCACCGCTCATGCCTGGGGGACACGCGCGCACAACGCGCACGCGCAGACACGTGTCGCTTGAGCCGTAGCACTTTCCTCGCACCGAGAGGCACAGGCCTGCCTTGTGCTCTGACTCGCGAAGAAAGGGGGAATGTCACTGTGCATTCTCGTGCGCTTTGGGTTTTTTTCCGCATCAAGACCATTGCCAAGTTAGTTCGCGACGGTCTACGATTTCACGCGAATTCAATTTACCGAAATGTCCATTGCCAATTATGGCCGCGGTCGGCTTTTTGTCGCTCTGCCTTGACAGTGCAGATGGAGAGTCACTCACCAAACGGGCATCGGCATGAGTATCCAGTGGCGGTGTTGACGCAAGAGCCGTTGTTGTAGCACGGAGACGAAGCGCAGTTGTCCACCGTCACATCACAGATTTTGCCTGCGAGTCGACAGAATCGAAGGTTCGACGCGCAAGGAATTTATTTAACCGTCATTGCTGTTTCTACACAATAGAAAAATGTCAGTAAAACTAATTTCGATCGATGAAAAGTATTGTATTTTGTAAAAAAAAAACATGCGTTTACACGGTGCATTTACAATAATTAACGGCTTGCTCGTTTTAAAACAATTACGTGAAAACGCCTTACCTGAAAATCCCGCAGAACAGTCGCAGGCGAAGCCTCCCTGTGTATTGTGGCACAGACCCCCATTCTGGCATGGTCCCTCCAGGCACTCGTCCACGTCCGTCTCACATGCTGTCCCGGAAAACCCTGGCAGGCAGCGGCACGCAAAACCACCTGGCAGGTTTTGACAGGAGCCACCGTGCCGGCAGGGCGTTGACAGACACTCGTCCATGTCGGCCTCGCACCAGGTCCCAGCGTAGCCTGCGGTGCAGGTGCAAACTGCCGGTTCGAGGACCTCGTGCGACACCAGAATGACCGAGGCGCTCTCTACGACCGTCGTCGTGGGCCCCACGGCCAGGCGCTTGGCGCAGTGGCCGCCGTTGGCGCAGGGAGACGGCGCGGCGCAGGGGTCGACGTTCGCCGCGTCCACGACTACGCCGCTCTGCCGCTGGATGGCGTCCGAGTTGGAGGCGAAGAAAGCAGCGAGGATGTCGGAGCTCAGGTACCTTCCGCCCGTGTGCCGCCCCGACAGCAGCAGGTGAGTGGCGTTCCCGTAAACGAAGGCGGCGTACAGCTGCACGCTCGCCGCCTGACTGCCCAGGCGAGCATCCGACGCCTGCACGAAATCCCGCAGGTACTGCCCGATGAACTCCCTGGGCGTCTTGGGCCTAGACAGCCGAAGCAGCACGCTGCTCTCCAGCGTGGCATTGGAGAACGAGCCAAAATTGACACGGGCGGTGGTGGTGGCCGGCGAGTGCTTGCCGTCGCTGCCGCGCACGCTCAGCTCGAAGCGCCCCTCGGCCGAGCGCGGCTGTGAAATGAGACGGCAGGTGTTGGGCTGGAAGCTGAAGACGTTGAACGGGCCAGACGTCAGATCGCAGTTGAATCTGTCGGAGATGTCCGGGTCCCTGGGTCGGACGTCGCCTATAAAACCGCCCGGGAAGGGGCTGCCGAAGTAATTGACGTGCACGCGCACGTCGCGGGCCTCCGACGGGTTGTCATTTTGGTCAAGCACGGACAGGTGAAGCGTGACAGTGGAGGTTAGTGGCGGCGAACCGGCATCAGCGATCGCAACCGGCAGGTGAAATTCCGGTTTCTGTTCTCGGTCAATTGGACGCGCCGTCTTGAGCAGCCCACTAGAGCTCAGACTGAAGTAGCCGCGCCAGGCTGGGTCAGAACCGAGGAGCTGGAAGGTGTACGGTCCCTTGTTTGGCGGAAGATCTGGGTCACCTGCTTCCAAGTTGAGAACCGTCATCCCCGCAGGCTGGTTCTCCGTCACCTTGGCTGACGAGGTCAACAGGAAGGGGCCGTTGTCGTTGACGTCCTCCAGCGCCACAACGACCACCGTGGTGCCAGTCGCCGGGGGTTCGCCCATGTCCACCGCGACCACGGTGAGGTTGTACAGCGGCACGGATTCGCGGTCCAACGGGGAAGCCACGACGATGAGGCCGGTGTGCGCGTTGATCGAAAACGCCCGTCCCGCATTCCCGCTCTGGATCAGAAAAGAGAAGGTCCTCCAGCCGGGCGGCGAGTCGAAGTCGTGGGCGCTGACGCCGACCACGTGGGTACCGACGCTCGCCGCCTCGCTCACGCGCCCGTGGTAGAGCGCTGACGAAAACACGGGCGGGTCGTTGGCATCGGTGATGGCCACATTCACGAGAACCTCGTCCACGTCGAAGCCGCGGATGCTTCCCGCGTTTTTGGCGATGACCCGGAGCGTCGCCGAGGCTTCCCTCTCGCGATCCAGCTGGGACGAGACGATGATTTCCCCCGTGTGCTCGTTGACGGAGAAGCCCTTGCTCCGGCTTTCGCCGAAGAGCATATAGAACACCGTGCCGTCGATCCCGGCGTCACGGTCCGTGGCGAACACCGAGCCCACCGGCGCGCCCACCGGCGCTGACTCGGACACAACAAAGTTGTACTCCCGCTGCACGAACCTTGGAAAATACTCGTTCACACCTGTGATCTGCACGTGCACCTGTGCCGTGCTGTAGTGGAATGTATCCGGATAATTAAAAGCCCGAACCGTCAGTTCGTACGTCTGCTTTGTCTCGTAGTCGAGGAAGCCCTGGGTGGTGAGAACACCTGTTTTCTGATTGAGAACAAATAAATCTGCTTCCCCATCATCCAGGCTGTACATTGTCACAGCGTTGCTTGGTGAGTCGGCATCGACGGCGTCCATGACGAGAACTGTCGTTCCACTCGGTGCGTTTTCTGGAATGACCGGGTAGTAGTCCGATGCGTTCAGCATCGGCGGGTTGTCGTTGACGTCCGTGACCGAGATGCTCACCCCGCTGCACTCAGTCTTCGCTTGCCAGCCACCGTCCGCGGCACAGACGCTGAGGTTGTAGAGCTTCTCCGTCTCGTAATCCAGTTCGCCCACGAGCAGGATGTCCCCGCTCGCCCGGCTGATGTCAAACAGGCCGCTGCCGTCCCCGCTTGCGATCGAGTAGACGATCGCCCCGTTCACTCCGGCGTCCGTGTCCGTCGCGGTGACCCGCGCGAGCGACGACCCCGCCGGGTGGTTCTCCGGAAGGCTGAGTTCCAGCGGCGGGTGGGCGAAGCGTGGCGCGTACTGGTTTTCCTCCGTCACGCTGATGATCGCCGTGGCCCGCGAGGAGAGTGGCGGACGGCCCCTGTCCCTGGCTTCCACGGTGACGCTGAAGATGGACCCCGCGTCGCCGGCGAGCGAGGCGCACAGGTGCAGGAATCCGCCGGCGTCCACGTCGAAGCGGCGCGACGCATTCCCTCCCACGACGGAGTAGGCGATTTGACCGTTGACGTCCCTGTCCGGGTCGACCGCGCTCATGTCGAAAATCCTCGTGCCCGCGCGGACGGTGGCGGCGACGGGCGTGGAGTAGCGCTCGCGTAGGAACCGGGGCGCGTTGGCGTTCGGCACGACGATGTTGATGGTCACCGTGGCATCGCTGGAGAGGGGGGGCCTGCCCCGGTCCATCGCGGTCACCACGAAGCTGTACTTGTTGAGGTTCGCCCCGCTGCCGCCGCCCGCCGGGTCTCTGTAGCGGAGCGGGCGCACGCTGTGGATCTCTCCCGAATCGCGGCCCACGCGAAAGTTCTCCGTCTGCGACCTCATGAAGAAAAAGACCTGGCCGTTGGCGCCGTCGTCCGCGTCAGAGGCCGAGACTCGAGCGACGAGGGCCTCGCCCTCGGACGGCTCCGGGAACTCGATGTAGTAGGCCGTCTGGCCGAAGCGCGGCGCATTGTCGTTGACGTCGTCGACGACGATGGTGACGTCCGTGCTGACCGTCCAGGCCGGGTCGCTCGCACGGACTTTCACGGCGTAGCCGGAGCGGTCCTCGCGATTCAGCCGCCGGCTGACGGTGATCTCCCCCGTGCTTGGGTGGATGGAGAATGGGAGGCTGGGGTCGAGCAGCGAGAATGTGATGGCGGCGTTGGGTCCCTCGTCCGCATCCAACGTGCTCACGCGCAGCACTGGGAAGCCGACCGCCGCGTCCTCTCGCACGTGGGCGCTGAAGATTTGCGTGAAGCGGGGCGAGTTGTCGTTTTCGTCGGTGACGGATATCAGCACTTTCACAGTGCAATGTTGAGTTGGAGATCCTCTGTCGGTGGCTTTTACGGTGAGCTCATAGCTTGCTACGTTCTCCCGGTCCAGCGTAGAAACTGACCTTATCTCGCCGGAGTTGGGGTTGACGCGAAACACGTTTCCAATGTTGCCATCGATAATGCTGTAATCGACCTGCCCATTTATTCCCGAGTCCTTGTCCACCGCTGTAAGGACGACGATGGTTCTGGGGGGCGTGTTTTCCGGCACCTTGGCCCAAAATCTCGATGAAGAGAACTCGGGAGCATTGTCGTTGATGTCCAAGACGTCCACCTCCAGCTTGAGGTAGGCGGAAAATGGAGGGAAGCCCGAGTCCCTCGCCTCTACCACAAGCTCATAGTGATGCTGGTACTCGTGATCAAGAGCACGGTGAACGGACACTTCCCCGGACTGTGGATCGACAGCGAAAACGTCGCCGAGGTTCCCCCCGCTGGCCAGGTGATAGGACACGGGCCCCGCACGCCGACTTGACCTGGCCGCCACCACCGTGATGGTTGTGCCGGGGGGCTGGTCCTCGCGAAATGAGAAGGACCTCGGGCCGGGCGCGAAGCGCGGGAACTCGCCGGCGTCGCGGAAGCGGACGGTGACGGTGGTGACGGCAGACCTGGGTGGTGCGCCGCCGTCCGACACGCGCACCGTCAGCGTAAGGTCATCCCGGGGGCCCTGCAGGGCCCTGGCGGCGTGGATGACGCCCCGCCGGGGGTCCACGGAGAAGCCGGCCGAGGCCGAGCCGCTCAGCGAGAAGCGGAGATCCCCGTTGGGGCCGGCGTCTGCGTCGCGGGCGGTGACGGCGAACACCGCAGTTCCTGCCAAGTGCCAGGCGAACGAGAGGGGTTCAAGTGGCACGCAAAAACGGCGGTCGATGGCGAGTGAAGCGGAAGTTTGTTCTGCGATTCAATCCAGGGTGCGAGAACGGCGAGTAAGAATAATGCTTGCCCGGGACGAATTACGTAAATATCACAATTGTAGAACGAAATTGCAGTAATTATCGTTAATTATTAATTTGCATGCTTGGAAAAAAATTACTTTAGGCTTAATTGCACCTAATAAAGGCCTAACTGGTGAAACATTTAAGTACATTATATTTTTCACTTTTTGCATACAGCTAATGAATGTGGAGAAGTGAGAAAACGTAATTAGATTAAATGCCCTTTGTTACACTTAATGAGAACCCATTAAGGGTTATTACTTCCTGCATTATGTAGCCAAAAGTACATGGGAAAATGTCTTTTGTCATACAATTTAGCTACAGTTGCTGTTAAAATGTGAGATGTGCCATAGTACATAATGGCCTTCTTTTAAGACCGCTGATGCAGGAATTTTAACAAGTGGATGGCATGTTTTGGTAGTTCTCAGAAAATATAACGATGGAATGTTATGAGTCCAACCATACACTCAAATTCACCCAGTGACAAGCAAACCAATTAGCAGCCCATCCAACAAATGTAAAATGCAGCATCATACTCAGCCTTCCCCCGCACCTCCTGATTAGCACGGTTGGCTACGTGCGGTGCGAAAGAAGTTCAACATACGTACATGTGTGCAGCAAATTTTGCCTCCCCACAGTGCTGATATTTATACAGTGCTGGAATTTACTTATTTATACTAATTCAAGGTTCAGTTTACCTCGAGCAGACTGAGAATCAGTTCAAATATCACTTGCGTAGCTTCAATAGATCATAGGGAGAACGAGCACCCATTAACGCTTGCACCGTGGAATTCTACACAGGGCGGCACACACACGCGTGCGTGCCTGCGTGTACCGCATAGTGACCCATACCGGCCGGAGCGGACGAGGGCGCGTAGGCCACGTAGGGGGCATTGAGAAACCGCGGCGTGTGGTCATTGACGTCGGTGACGGCGACGACGAGCGTGGCGGAGCTGGAGAGGCCCGGGGTGGGGCCCCCGTCCAGCGCCGTCACCTCCAGCACGTAGCTCTCGCGGCCCTCCCGATCCAGGCTGGCCGTCGTGATGATCTGCCCCGTGGATGGGTTCACGGAGAAGTGCCCGTCGCCACCCCTCAGTCGGTAGCTGCTCTCCACGCACGCACCAAAAAACGAACGAACGCTTCAGCACCGATTGGTAATTCTCGGTCGTTGTGCGGTGACCTTATACTATCGGTTCTGTTCCATGATCATCATCATGATGATCAGCAGCAGCGGCAGCAGCAGACGTCACCTATCCACTGTATGTATGTTGAGCTTCTTTCGCACCATGAGTAGCCAACCATGCTAACCAGAGGTGCGGGGGAATGTAGGCCTCCCCCAGCCGTCGCCATCTCTCGTGGTTTGGCGATGCAACAATCCAGCTGTCTTGTGCACAATGGATGATCGCGTAACTCCTCCGCAGTGGATATCCGCTCAGGCGTGTTCATTCCTTTGCCTTCCACTCTATCGTAAGTACCGACCACATCCATTCTCGTGGCGTATCCTGTACGAGCCCGCTTACTTTTCTTAACAGTTAATAAGATAACTACGTTATTTTCTCAAAATTACATTCGAGAGGCAGCAAGTGGAACACGTAAATCATAAGGCAAACAAAGGTTCTTTTGAAATATATACCTTAATGGAGTACAGCAAAACAGTACATTTTCAAGCAATACACACGTTAGTAATGTGGAATCGTGCCACTGAGGATGTGGTGGAGCAGGTGAATTTATCTTGTCCTTTGGAGAGAAGCTTTGCGTATCACACAGATTGAGTCCTGTGTGGGACATTCCCACCCATGGGTAAGTAGGCCAACAACGGTGAAGGAGCGCGCCTCGGGTCCCCGACAAAGGTCACGGCAGCGGTGCTGCCGGAAGGCACCTGATGATGGCGTTAAGTCCGGCGTCGGCGTCCGTGGCGTTGACGAGCGCGACGTCGGAGCCGATGGGCGCGTCCTCCGGCACGGCGGCCCGGAGCTCGGTGGCGCCGAACCTCGGCAGGTTGTCGTTCTCATCCTCCACCAGCACGGTCACTGTGCCGGTGCCCGTGAGTCGGGGCTCGCCTGCGCACCGCAACAAACGCACCCTCAGTAAAATGCTCTGCCACGCCGTGTGCCGACCAGTGCCTGGAGAGTAGAAAAAAGCGCACTACGCCGGATTGCTTACGCAGCTTGGCTTGCTACTCAAGCACACATTTGGAATAATTCAGTTGGAATATACATGGCAGTTATCGTCCCACGCCAACCACCCCCCCACCCCCACCCACTGCAAAAACTTGACGGGATCCTCCTACGAAGGAGTCATGAGACTCAGCGTGGCTTTGCTGGCTCAAGAAGCAACCTATTAATAGAAGCAAGGAGTAAAAACACACATTGGCACACTCCGTAATGCATAAAAAATGCATTTACGTGGCATTGAAATGTAACTACATCTCTCGACGCCGGATTCAAAATGGGGTTATGAGCTGGAAGCCGGGGGCCTCTTTGGCTTGTGTGCCCCAACTCAGTTCCACTGCCTGCACACTCGATGTCTCCACCACCGGGTAAAGTGGACAATGGTGGAGGTTGTCCGTGAACGTATCGTCCATTATTAGGAAATTCAAATTCGATAACGTGTTGTGCTCATGTGATAAAACTATAGGCACAGACTTGGTAGTCTGAAAATATGTTAGTACGAGTAGTTGTTAGCGCACCGCACTACAAATCCAGACATTTAGCTAAACATCAATGATGAGTGATGTTCAGTGGAGCACCAACAATTCGAGGATAAAAAATACAAATATAAAAATAAAATAGCAAAGATATCATTATTTCAATTCCCGTGCGCGTACAGAGGGAATATGAATTATAATGTATTTCTCAACATTTCTGAGAATGTATTGGTTGGACAGACGACTGGACGGACCAACCGAATAGTTATGCCTCTGTTTAACAAAATACGCTTTAAAAAACATGAAACGGAAAATAGCGGGAAAATGTGTCCCAGTTTACCAAAAACCTCAGCCTAGTACTGCCCTTGGGGTTTGTGGGTGGGGGCGCCGATTGCACGATTCGCCTAAGGGCCGCCAGCTGCTGGAAACTAGCCCAGAGCCGCCCCTGGTGATATCTGAACCAGTTCTGCCCACCACTTTCACCAATTTGCACTGACCAGCTTGGTGAAGTATAACGAAACAACCCCCATGACTGCCGCGGCATGGTGCGACCGTCATCCAGCGGCGGGATGACAGACGGCTGAAATTCCCTAATGTCAAATCTACGCATTTGTGGTACACGTCGTATCGATATTTGAGAGAGTCCCAGGTGCCTGCCAACGTCTCGGCTGCGATAGTTTACAATGCCTCCGCTCTGCACTATTTTGAGGCTCACTCAAGTGTTTTGTGTTTTTGGCAAACACTTAATCTTTTACATAAGCCCCAACATTCAACCATGCAGTTCAAACTGCTATCTAATCCCAATTCTTTAATGATAGATAATTGTCCTCATGGGCACCCTGTATATATTCTGCAGAATAATGATTAATTTCTCACAGAACACCTTTCAAATCCATCCGTTCATTGATGTGTATTCCCGCATAAGTGAGAACTTAAGCTGGATCAGAGTATGGCATATATACACACACAATGTATACAGCTTGAGACTCGCGAACGTAAATGGCGGGATAATCTGGAGTTCATCTCTTTCCATTGCCCGCCCCATGAGTTTGGCACAGATCCTGATATTATTTGAGCGCTATCCCATTTTGGCAATTACGCAAGATCTGAACAATGCACCGTTGGAATGGCACCGGCCATGCGGAGCACTTTCACTGGCTGGTCTTGTTTCTCCGCATGCATTTTAAGTCAGGCGTAAGGTTGTCAGGAATGCAAGATCTACACCCGTCGACTCCATCGCCCGTGGGATTATTACCACCTCCAGCCGTGTTGCACTCCAGAGATTGAGTTTTCACATTCTTTAACCATGAAGGTAAAGGTGCAGCCTTGTAATGTCTTGCTCAAGCCACTGCTGGAGGAAGGGCTTCCACTAGAGGGGGGGGGACCCGAGGGTAATTTGGCCTACTCTTCCATACTGGCCAAACATCTTGGAAGAGGTGAGAGCACCGCATACTTTACCCTCACCGCACGTGACCATCGACTGACCGTGGTTTGGTGTCCGTGTGCATTGCCGAACGTACACAGAGGCAGACGGAGTTAAGAAACTCGCACCGTCGTTTCATCTGCCACGCCGGGAGATCGAACCCGGCGCGGCCTGTGGCCTGCAAGCCCAGTGCGCCAACGCGTGGCGCCGTGGCAGCCATCCCTTGCGATCATCAAGATCAGCTGAGAATCCCCTATCCCTTCCAAAGGAGTAACACCAGGTGTGGTCAAAAACAGTCAACGGCGTGATGGACAGTTCTCCATGCATTTCGGATTATATGGATTGCCCACACCTGACATGGCTCATTCGGTCTCTTGGGCGTTCGATATGAGTCAACCCTTTGATTTGCCCTGCATCACGTGTTTATACGGGGGGGTAGGGGGAGGGGAAAGTTGTCTATATCATGGGGATTTGGTGTTGGAAAAAAAAGTATTTTAGGAATGCTGAAGTCTCCAGAAAACTTGGGCAAAGTATCGAGCTCAGCCTTGCTTTATGTTTTGTTTATTGGTATACATTCCAATGATTTCGATGTAGTGAGTTTTATGACCACGCTTTTCGTTCAATAGAGGGCGCTCTTAATTTTAATTGTGAACAGGTTGAGTTAAACATTCATTGACAACTGCCATCGCTGAGTGCACGGACAGTACAGTATACGAAAATGCTTATTTTCAAATCGACAAAGTGTATTTGTTCACTGCAGTTGTCAGGAAATGTTACGTTATTTTTAAACTCAAATGCATGCCATGTTGGTCATGTTCATTTTTGTTGTCAAATCATCACTGTGCCACCGCTGCATCATTCTGTTCTTTACCGTTGCAAAAATGTCACGTTGCACATTTATACATGCCGCTAAGTAGCTCACAGACACGGTAACGGGGCAAAAGCGCCAGGTGGTAGCTGCCCTTTAATGAGCCCACGCTCCGTACCGCCCCAAGAATCTGCGGATAAAGTAAATCCAGATACTAAAATTACGGGAATATTAATACTTAAACCGTTTATTGCATTTCTCTTTTGGTTTTGTGATTTATTGGGACTCGCTAAACAAGTAGAGGTATTTCATTTCGTATTTCCATGAGCCACCACGCATCGATTTCCTGTCGCTGAAGCGCAGATCGGGGAAGAACACTCGCTGCTTTCAGTGGTAGTCAAGGGAGCTTGAAGAGAGTCCGCTATTCCATGGCTAACATTATTACAATTCGTGTCCAAGATATCGCGTTGCCTGGTGTTTGTGTTGTTTATATACCGAATAAATTCTTTATTACGGTGACCACGGAATCAATTTATTTGTTAGCCTTCTGCCAACATTTTACACATTCTTTTGGCAAGACTGTGGGGCCCTGTCAAAATTGTAAAAAGCCAAAAAAATAAAGTTTAAATAAATAATTGCAACAAAGTATTTGGTCAACCCAAGGCAAAGCTCTGGCCAGGCTCAGTTTTACAAAAAATGAAAACGGTATTTTGCATGCACGTGTGTGAAAGTTTTTTTTTGTTTTGAAAAAAAATGGAAAGATAGACCGCTTCATCAATTGTTGCCAACAACGTATTACTATTAATTTTATTTCTTAATTCTTCTTGGAGTTAAGGTAAACAATTTTTTTCACAAATTTCGCCAAAAAAAAGTTTTCATTATTTAAGAGAGCACAATAACATGCGGCCAAGGACAATTCCGATATTGTGCTTTTGGAGGAGAGCTCTAACCACAGCAGCCTTCCTAGGGGGTAAAAACAATGCAGAGGGCCCACACAGCTGCGGCAGTACGAGTTGAAAAGCCATTAACGAACAGTTTGAACCGTACCTCCACCCACTCACTCCAGTGTCCAATTGCCCCCCAGCTCCCTCCTATGCCCCTGGCTCCTGCCACCCATGCCTTCATTTACTGATGAAACTGGCTCTTGGGATCATATAAATGCATTCCAGCAACTGACGTTGGTATTCAACCGAATAAAATCAATGCAGGACCACACCCAGACGTCGATTTTTCTTGTGTGTGGCAGGAATAAATTGCGCTCGTGCATGCAATTAAGAATGAGGAATTAAAGCGCGCATCCGTCAAGTTTAATTCAAACTGAAAATCACAAATAACATCGCAAGCACAAAAACTGGGAAAATGAGGCACACACACACATACACAAGCTAAATTTACTAAATGTAATATTATACCACAATACTGGTAGAGCTTCCTAAAATTCGGTTACTTATACGCGTGATACGTATTCGACACTGCAATGCTTTATCTATCTGATTCCAGTCATCCTCAATTCACCAATGGATGAAATCCTCCCCACCCCATGTCGGTCACGGTGCAGTTTTAATCACAATTCACCACGCTGGTCAGGGCCCGGTTTGTGAAGGGTGGAGGAAGGGCAGGGCTGGTTCGGTTGTCACACGCCATTGATGTTCGCCGTAGCTGGGAATCGAGCGTGGGTCACCAAGTTCAAAGTACAGCAAGCTAAAGCAATGTAACAAGGAGCCTCAGATTGAGTAGAAAATAATATCAGCCGTAGCTTTTGTAAGCATACAATAACAATGTTTGCCTTGCGAAGGTGAGTCGCTGAATCGTCTTGATTTAGATTCGCAGCCACTCGACCCCGCAGAGGTCACACGAATGGCTTGCACACAAACATAAACAAAATATAAAATCTTACACGTGCAATTTGACACATTTATCGTGAGTTTAATAACTAGCATTGACGAATGGTCAGACACATCGTTACACTTCTACAACTGCAAAGTGAGAAGATAATATATTTTACGGGAAAAATTGTATTATATAAGATAAAGTAGTTAATTGCTGAATTAAAATGACTCGACAAAATTAGGTGGTTGGGTAACTCGGAGGCCAAATCAACGAACACTGCTAAATTCCTAGATTCAATTCCAAACAGTCACTGTTGATCAAACTTTGCTCTCAAGTGCAGTGAATTCATTGT